TACAATCAGAATGGGTTGGACCTTGAATCTTTTATCTTCTTCTCTAGAATGGTGAAAGAAACACCAATGGATCCAAATGATTTCACTATCACAAGTGTTCCATCTGTTTGTGTTAATCTTGATATGTTGAAGATTGGTAAGCAAATTGACACCGGGTAGACCTATCCAAACCAGTTCAACCAACCAAACCACCACCTTATTATTGCCAACCTATCATCTTACTATGAGCTTGAAGTTCCTCCTACCCCAGTAGACTGACATTAATGTTGTTGCTCTATTCTATTGGCATTAAACTTCAGTCTTTATATTAGCTACATAGAATTAAATAGTTGGATTTTATGTTTTCTTGAGGACTATTGCCTTTTGGAAGAGAACAATTTTCTTGGAGGAATAATGGAACTGGTAACATAAGGAACTTCAAAATGTTGACAGCTGCTTTTCAGAAGTCCTGTTAAGGTGGAATTAAGCTGAGTGTCAATGCTTTTGGAGTTTTAGGCTGAAAGATGTCTATGGGACCTGCTGCAGGTTTCACTAACTTGGAGAGTGGGGATATTCCCCTTTACTTCGGATTTATAGCTTTAGCTGATGTTATTGATGTTCTTGTTTGCAAAATAGCTGGTACTATAAAATGATCTATTTTTATAAACAGAAGGTTGACAACATTTGAGGCACATCTTCCATCTTTGGTTTAACTTTTTTGTTGTTGTTTCTAATAATCATTCATTTCTATCACTCTGATGATAACATTATTTTTATTCCTATTAGTATTTCTAGAACTCTTGTTTGGATAAAATTTGGTTGTGTGAATGCTATGTAGATCTCAGCATTATCAACAAGGTTGGAGCAGTTGCTATTTGAAAGCTCTCAAACTTTAATAATGATGTGTTTTTGAAGGCTATTTGTTCCGTATATATTTGCACTAATATAACTTCTGAAGGCTGTTCATCTCTTATATTTTGCAGATAATGGGCCACGTAGGACTCCTAAATTGTAGTGCACAATTGTACATAGGGATGCTTATCAATAGTTATAAAATAAATGTATATTGATGTTGGAGAAATAATCTTCTCAATGTGAATAAATTCATACATTCCTTCAAAAAAAAAGAATAAATTCATACAATGAATGTATATATTTCAACCACTTTTTTAATATTCAGCTCTTTAATAGTTGATCATACATACCTAGTAAATTGTAAATTCAATCCTATGTTGTACACCCACAAGTGTCATAATGATATAGGTAAATGATTAGGTTGAGCGAGTTATGACAATAAAACACGATGTAAATATGAAAATCAACTACACTTGTTACAATACAACAACAACATCATCAAGCCTTTATCCCACTACGTGGGGTTGGCTATATGAATCCTTTTTCTCCATTGTGTCCTATTAAAGGTCAAATTCTCTTTTTTGTTTTTGTTTTTTTTAGGTTAAATTCTCATTTAAATCTAATAAAGAAAGGTTATTCCTAATATTTTCTAACCAAGTCTTTTTAGGTCTGCCTCTACCTTTCTTAACATAAGTCAAATCTAATACCTCTATTCTCCTAACCGGATCATTGGAAGGCCGCCGTTTTATGTGACCAAACCATCTAAGGCGACTCTCTCTAATCTTATCTTCTACTGGAGCTACTCCAACCTTTTCACGTATATGCTCATTTCGTATCCTATCTCTAAGGGTAAAACCACTCATCCACCTGAGCATCTTCATCTCTGCCACACTTAACTTAGTATTATGCTTCTCTTTTAGTGGCCAACATTCAGCACCATAAAGCATTGGAGGCCTCACTACCATCTTATAGAATTTTCCCTTAAGTTTGAGGGGTACTTTTCTATCACACAACAAGCCCGATGTGTTCCTCCACTTCAACCATCCAACTTGAATTCTGCTGATAATATCCCCATCTATTTCACCATCACTCTGAACAATAGATCCAAGATATCTAAAACGTGTACTCTTATTAATGACTTGATCGCCCAAAGTCACAATCCCCTCAATATGTCTATTACTACTAAAATTACACCCCATATATTCCGTTTTAGATCTACTCAAGCGAAAACCTTTAGTCTCTAATGTTGACCTCCATAATTCAAGTTTACTTTCAACTCCCTCTCTAGTCTTATCAACAAGAAGAATATCATCAGCAAAAAGCATGCACCAATGTACATCCTATAACATGCCAAAGGCACGAGTGTAAACTAAAAGTAATATTATGATGAGGTAAATAATCTATGCCAAATGTTAAAAGAATGTAACTTTAAGTGAACAAGAAATATGATCTCTACAAACTTAACACTATATTAATTGTAGCATTGACCATATTTACTATTTAACCTAAATAATGTAAATACTTTTTAATTGCGGTAATACAACAACTACAACAACAACAAGCCTTTATCCTACTTCATGGGGTCGGCTACATGAATCCTTTTTCTCCATTGTGTCATGTTAAAAATGAAATTCTCAAGTCATTTCTAATATTTTCTAAGTTTTTTTAGGTCTACCTCTACCTTTCTTAACATAAGTTAAATATAATACATCTGCTCTACTAATCGGGTCATCGGAAGGCCAACGTTTCATGTGACCAAACCATCTTAGATGTCTCTCTCTAATAATACAATGAAAACTCAAAAAAATAAATGAGTAAAGTCAAAAACAAAGAACAACTTATAAAAGTTGGGTTTTAAGAAAGATATTACAAAAGTGATTTAGCCTTGAAGGACTTTCCAATTTGATGAACATTTAGTGAACCTTTCTACACTTCAAATTTCCCAAGTATATTACAAGAAAGCTTCAGGGCAGAACAAAAAAAAATTGAATAATTTTTTTCGTTAGTTTTTTTCTTAGAATCCTTAGGTAGTTATAAAAAAGCTTAGGTTCATTTAGAGAAAAATTCTACCTTTGATAAAGTTAAACTTCTTTTAAGGGCTATTTGGTTGGAAGTAAAATGGGTATAAAGTATTTCAAATGCAGGGGTTTTGAAAATTTTTGTGTTTAGTTGAATGAAAAAGAAATGCAAAAGTAAAGTAAATGCAATGTTAATTATTTTAGTTCATTTTTGAAGTAAACTAAACTCGCTTAGTTTTAAGCAAGAACTGTTTACATCGCAAACAAACTCGCTTGACTGCCGTCACCCACAGCAGGTTGTTGCCACCCACCATTGGCCGCCACTTGACTGCCACCACTAGCCACCGCTGGCTGCGGCCACCACCGCCGACCGCCACTGTCGTTGCGACCTTCCGCCATTCAACATTGTCATCGCTTGTAGACCATCTCTGCCACTAGTCCGGTGCCACCACCACTACCTGTGCCATCGCCACTTGCCTCTAGCCACCACCACCATTCGGCTGTGCCCATCACCACTGCCATCTTCCACCGACCACCACTACCGCTTCCATCAGCCGTCAATCGTCACTGCCGCCGCTACCATCTTTGGACGTTTCACTACATTCATTTTACTTCAAAAAAAAAAATGCCATCTTCCACCAACCACCACTACCACTTCCATCATCCGTCAGTCGTCACTGTCGCCGCTACCATCTTTGGACATTTCACTACATTCATTTTACTTCAAAAAAAAAAAACATTCACTTGCATATTCTCTATACTCATCCAAAAAATTTCATAATATTTATTTTACATTGTATTTTTTTTACACTACATTCATTTGACATTGCATTTCTATTTTAGCCAACCAAATAGTCCCTGACTAATTTTACAAGATTCTAAATGATTAAAAAATAGTTATAATGATGAAGAAGTTGTAGAAGTATTTAATGGGTTCAATTTATATAATTAGATATGTTTATTATATTTTTTTTAGGAAGTCATATTTTGTGAGCAAAAACGATTGCAGTAAGAATTTGTACTGCAAGTTGCTGAGCACGCTTGCAGGAGTAGTAGCTGCATGCATGTGAGTGCATGCTTGTGAATAGGGGCGTTGCGTGGGCCGCATAGGCGCAGTTGTTCATGATAAAAGCTTTGCGCGGGTGTGCATGTGCTCCTTGTGTGACAAGGCAAATATGCATGTGGGCAGTGGCCTGTGCACACAAACATAGATATATCAAGTTGTGCAGCAGTGACAAGCAACAAGTGAAGTAATGCAAGGAACAAGTTGATACACTGAAACAAGCAAAGTGAAGAGTAAAATCTAAAAATTCTCAATCGAATAATCAATTTTGAATAGGTTGAAAATTTATTTTGGAATATTGATCGAATTGATAATCTTGCAAACAACCTATATAAAATTTTGAGAATAAGCAATGTTTCAGATTCGATGGTGATAGTTTCTATACATAATTTTGATTATTTATAATTTGTATATATTTATTGAATATTTAGCTTAAAATCATGTTGAAAAATATGTGGCCCAGATTTTAAATAAAATGGAATTAATTTTTATTAAAATGCATTTCAATAAAATTGAAAGATATTTTAGGAAAGAAAAAAATGATTATTTATTGCAATTTAGATATTTTGAAATGGTTTTTGATTGTTTGGAGCTTATATTCAATTTGTGAATTCTCATTCTACATCCTTTATGTTTTCAAAGTCTTCTTTAATTAGTTTTTATACCTCGTTGAACATCCTTGAGTCTTTGATAATGATCTAACTCAATCATAGCATGGAAAACTAAAGACCCCTAAACATTTAAGACTTATACACTTGGATTTTGAACTTCTTGTGATAGTCTTAAAATTTTCATGGATTGTACCCTTTGATCTTCATTTTTCTTAGTGGAAAATGGTTCAAGCATGCTTAGTAACCATCAAACTCATCTTGATCATCTCCACGATTGCTAATAAATGATAAAACTATAAATAATACTTATCAAACCATTAGACAACACCCAATGTTTGTTATCATTGAATTAAATAGTGTATGTATATGTGTATACTCAAACTTGACTTCCCCATACGTAATTTTTTGTTATTTTTTGTCTACATTTTTACCTCAAATTTGTCCTTACCTATCTTATTAAATTAAATTTTATAGGGATTAGAATGGAAAGAGAAAGCTGATAAACTTGAATTGGAGCTGCAACAATGTTACAGAGCTCAGTCACGATTGTCTGAACAGCTTGTTGTAGAGGTGGCTGAGTGTAGAAGCTCAAAAGCTGTTGTTCAAGAGAAAGAATCATTAATGACCAGTCTGCAAAATGAAATGACCCATACAAGGTTATAACTCTTTAGTTCAAAACCATTTATGACCAAAAAATAATATGGTGGTCTCATGTGGACGAACATTACAGGGAAGAGAACTCAAAACTTAAAGAGAGTCTAGATTTGAAAACCGAAGCTTTAGATTTGGCTGTCACTGAGAACCGGGCACTTAAAGGTCAGTTAGCAGATGTGATGCAGAAACTAAAAGAAGCAGAGGCTGAGAGCAAGAACTTGATTGATCGTTGGATGCTGGAAAAAATGAAAGACGCAGAAAAACTAAATGAGGTATTTCATTTTCATTTAGCTTCAGTATACCATGTTAAAAATCTGAGACATTATATGCGTAATGGTGAAAATTTGTTCTCAATTACTTTGCTTTAGCATGCATAGTAGGATGTGTTCTTTCTTTATGCCAAAGTTTCCTAGTATTATCTTTGTTCAATTATTTTGCTTTGGCATGTCCAGGCTACTAGTTCATTGTGTTAAACAAAGATATGATGAGGAAACTTTTGCATTTCCTATGAGTTCTTGGCCTTTAATCTAGGTGGTTTATCAAGATATCCTAGAGATTATATCATATTGGTATTGGAATGGAAATCTTATATTAAATTAGCAATAGAACAAATCGTTATCTTTATTAGTACAAATAAATTTTTTGTTTATTTGAATCAGAGATTGATGATTATTGCTTTATATTCTGATTGATTGTTTGTAGCTTCCAATTTGAGAAGGTAATGAGTGAAAATCACCTTATTTGGGTTTGTGAGATGTACACATTTTCCACTGTTTTTTTCTTTTGAAGCTCTGTTAGAGATGTGGCAAAGCTGATGACAAAGTTTAGCCTTGTCATTTGATTCCTATATCACATAAGTATCGCAAATAATATTCACCTAACTCAATTGACTATTTCATTTGCCTGTTTGGAGCAAAGTAAAACTTTTTTCAATGGCTTGTTAGCCACTACTTATGTTTGATGTAGTTGGAAATAAGTTCTTGGTCATTTTGTTTAAACAATGAGTGAATGTAAGCTTTATCATGGACAAATATTTTAACTTGACCGTCATTAGCAATTTGCTAGTGTTGTAATCACATTGCTACTTTCTTGTATCCCTTTGGGACCACGATCAACCTAATCTAACTTTGAGATATAAAAATAGTCGTTCCTAAGGTTTTTTAGGCAATTTTAGATTGTTGGCGGTGTTAAATATTTCTTGATTTTTAGAAAAGTTTTTTTATTTTTTTCCTTTATTTGTTACTAACTTACTATGGCCACTTTTCAACTATTTGAAGAATAACACATATTTTAACTCATTAGTAATTAAACTAATTAAGTCTTGTCAATCTCCTAGTTAGCTTATGGATCTTTTTGAAAAACGTTGGTAAGGTAATCTCCATCCAGGAATAATTCTATTTTGTGAGATGAGATAAACTCATAAAATCTTCGTACTAGGCTTCAAAATCTATTTTATTGGAACTGAAGCGCATCTGCGCATGTACGTTCTTGTTATGATGTAAGTTTTTTCTAAATCTTATAGATGCTTTTTTGGGGCTAGACTCTTCATTAGAAGATAGTTGATGTAAACTTCTTGGTTTCCTTTTTATGGAAATAAAAGATATTATGCTTGAGTTGATGTATGGCTTCAATGTTCTGCAATCTTAAAACTAGTTCTCCTTATCAATTAGTTGCACTTGGATTTGATGTGGTATACCTTTGTAGAGTAGACTTGCCAAAGTTAGGCTTATAGGATGTATCAACTTCCGCTCACTAAGAATTGTTCGATCAAGCATGCCGGTTATATTGCTTTAGGGTGACCCAGGTTTGCAATAAGCTCCTATTTCATGCCTTATTTTTTGGTAGGTCTCAAAAATTTTTTTGGGTCAATGAAAGTATTCGCAACTTTGGATGGTCATCATAATTGTTGCTGATGGGCAATCAAATGATCACAATTCGATATGATCTAGATGATAGAGACAGATATGTCCAAGGAACTCCTTTGGGACCTAGAAGCTGGCACCTTTAGAGGCTACTAGAGTCGTCATTCTGTTGCTTATTCTCTCTTTTAGATTTAGCTGAGTTTGTAATAAAGATGGGTGCTTTAGAGCCCTTGCTGGGCTCCTCTATATTAATTTATTAGCTTGGCTTTTCTAATATATAAAAACAAAATCGCAAGTGGGATTCTTGGTGATCGTAAACTTGAACCGACCATCTGCCATCTCAGCTGCTTAATGAAGGCCATGCTAATAATGGAGGATATGTGTTGGACTCCTCTTCATTGAATTAGTGAAGAAATGTCAAAATGACTCATTTTGATTCTGTTTGAGATAAAAAAGGAAATTTGACTACTTTTTTGGGATTCCTCATAGATGGAAAACTTGGCAAGGAGTTATTTATGAGATTCATTGTTACAGGTGAGACTTGTGAGATCAAGTTGGGCCAAATAAGCATAACTCAATCTTGTAACCAGGCTTCACGCGTACAACATTAAATATCAAGCAAAGGGCTATCATGATCTCAAATCTATCTAGATACTCCACTGGGTTGGTCAGAACTGTGTAAGGTCTAACTATATACTTTTGATTTAAACAATAATGAATCTCATGAATCTTCACAGTAAAAAGCTAATGTAGTTAGGTAACTGATATCCGTGCAAGATTGTGATCCTTTGATGGGCATCGAGTCTTGAGAGTCTTTTAAATTGATCCTTTTAATTTGAATGACTATTAGATTTGTTCATGTTGATGGTTCATCCTGTAGAATACTGCTTTCCTTTAGTATCTTGTTTATGCGCAGTAGAATTTCTTTGGTCTCCCATGAGTAGCTAACTAAGCTTTCAATCTTAGCCTTTGGTTCATTGAATTGTGCTGAGTTGATATGTTCTATCATTGTTGAAATTTCCCTTATCATTGTTGAAATTTCCCTGCTGAATAGCTGATCAGTCTCTACCTCTTGTTGGATGGAAGGTTCTCTTGCTTCCTCCTATGCATGACCTATTTTCAATGTACCCACATGGTCTCATGGATAGCATAAAAAATATGAGTTTTAGATTTTTTGGCATTCAAGAAATAGATATGAGAGATTGATGGTTAGAATAATTCAAGGAGAGGAAGCTCACAGTCATGAGTCCAGAAATCATAATACACCTAAATTTCTTATCAAACTTTTTCTTAGATGTAGGTTGTTCATTCCACTAGTTTTTTTGGAGCCAAAAAATGATCCCTATACTCTTCAATATAGGATATCTATAGAGTAATTTTTATGCCCGTTACCTTCAAGGGGAATCTAGAATCTCGAATTCTTTTTAATGATTTCTGAATGATTTATTGCTTCATTTAATTTTATTATAAACAATATGTATGATTATTATTGTTTTCGCCTTTTGAGGAAATATTCCTATAAGTAGGCATGACACTTGTCTTCAAATACCCGTAAAGTTTATCAATTACTGAGGGTGTAATCACGTGGGCTTCCCTTAGTGCCCTTCTTGTCTAGCTCCTATCACTTTGTTCTTTTATCTTTATTCAAGTCAAAATGAGCATTGGTCGAGCCAAATAGGGAGGTTGTTAGGGCCATAGTTGATCTTTTACATTTATATTACTTTGTGAGTAGGGAAATGTTTCATAGCTGAGTAGAAGATGTAGTCGAGCTATTTAAGTACTGTGAGCTAAGCGGAAAATGACTCATGTTATCATTTGAGTCATTTGTGGCTTTATCTTGCAACTTTTTCTAGCTTGGTGAACCTCGTTATCTTTCTACGTTTTGAGAATTACTGCTTGTATCATTAGGATCAATTCGAAAAATATTGTTGATTCATTACTCAAAATAATCATAAAATGTGTTTGGCCTGCAAAAACCATTGATAGTGGGGACCACCTAATAACAAATAGAGATGCTAATCATATGAAACATAAGAGGTCACAACGATTTTGTAAAGCAAATGATCACGTAAGTTATCAAACTGAGATGCTAGCGCGCAAAGACTAAATCACATAAGCTAGTGGACTACAAGATGTAAAAGTTGCATCACAAAAGAAGAAATGCCACATCTAATAGATAACCACTAGGGTTATTGAGGAAGAAAGTTATTGAGAGAAGCTATTGGAGCCATTGATATTGCTGGAGGAAGCTTTGCATCAAAATATCTTGTTAAATGGTTGGATATTTATCCTAATCATATCATTTGTTAATAAGACCTTGTTTGTTATGGGAGTGAATTATGAGTAAACCTCTTCCTTAAATTCTTCGTGGGCCCCACTAATATAGTTGTATAGGTAAAATCCTTTCTCTTAGCTTGCATGAACCAACATACCTGTCATGTTGGAGGCCTAGGATTGTGGTAGTCTCGTTTGAAGTATAAGTGTGTGACTCACTACTTTGTTGATAAAGGCCTAATTTGGCCCTTCTTATCACTTCAAGATTTTATGATATGCGGTGATACTTAGGTCTTAAGAGATCATCTCTCTCTCTCTCTCTCTCTCTCTCTCTCTCTCTCTCTCTCTCTCTCTCTCTTATATATTTATATGCACACACACACAAAAACATCATGGATGGTGTATGTCAGGATGTTAAAATAATATTAATAAAATATTTTATAGTTCAAGCAGTTGTTTATCCTATTCTAGATAGTAAGTTCTAATGCAAAAGTTAAATATATCACATCAATTATAATTAAAGCAAAGAATATCGTATTAGATTATTTTGGTTGATCACTAACATAAATTTTGAAACCTGTCGATCAACAACCAAATAATTTTGGAAAGTGATGAAATAATGCCCTTAACTATATTCACTTTTTGAGAGGAAGATCAATTGTTTTAATGTTCATTTTACTAGTCTAAATCAATGTTTAAAAAGGAGGGGTGTTTTACCTTTCATGAAATGGGGCATATGCCCCGTGAATTTTATTTTTAATATTTAATAAATAAAAATAAATATAAGAAATAAACTGAAATAACTAAAAGCTAAACTCTATAATTATTTTATTTAAATTCTAATGCAAAAAATCAAATAACACAAGCATATAAAGTTAAATTGTCAAATAGAATGAGACTATGAAAAGTTGAACAAATTATGAATTAAAGTTCTAATTCATTATTTCTCAAGCTCCTCGTCTTCCAAGTCATCTCCAATTAATATATTCAAATCAGATGTAGGCACATGTTAAGTTTTTGCAAATTCAATTTTTGGAATTATCTTCTCCTTATTTAAGTTATTACTCTCAGATTCAACGTTGAATTAATTAAAAATTTGCTTTCCTTTTCCATTTGTAGCATACACATTTAAAAAATAACTGTTTTGAACCTTTAACTACACTTTCAAGTTAAAGAAGGAATGAATTATAAAACAAATAGGGTAATCGTCTTCCTTTTTTTTTTCTTTGGGAATATGTATTATATGTTTTGTTTATGTGGAATCGAGATATTGAACCTCATTCTGTGGAATTGAGCGATTCTACCTCATTCAAAATAGTATGGGCACAGTCCTAATTCCATAAACATCAAAGAATTTTGTTTCCTTTCTCCATCCAAAAATAATCTTGCAGAAGCAATTTATCTTCTTACTCGACAATCCAATCATCATAAGACTTTCTTTCCATCTTCCAAAATTGGATCTAAATTTATCTTTTTTCTAATACTCGTTTCTCTCATCCTTGTACTGACATAAACTAGTGCATTTAACTACTTGTGCTATACCATATTGCTCTTCTTCCCATGAAGCTAATATTTTAAGCAAAAAATATTAAATATAATTGCAAAGCATTATATTTAAAGAAACCAGACTTTATAAGAAGAATGATTTTGAAACTAAATTTCAAAATGATTTTAAAAGTAAATTTTAATTATTAATTATATTAATAATTATCTCATTAATCATTTAAATATTCTACTACTAATTAATTATTTAATTATTATTTATAATGTTATATAATAATTATTTCTACCTAAGATTATATTAATTAAACTATTCATTTTAATTTTTAATTACTAATTAGTTAATTAATCTAGGGTTTGCTTTTCGTCTTCTCCATTTCTTCGTTACTGCTACTTTTCCTCATCGCTATTTCTTCATGCCTGCTTTGATATAGTGCTTCGTGTGAATCTTGAAGGCTCCACGTAAAATAATGTGTTGAAAGTGTCGCTAAAGAAGCTTCTTCGCATCCTTCGATGATGTCGGATCGAAAGTCACGACGAGAGCTCGCTCGATGCGACGGTAACCATCTTTATCCTTTTCATGCGCTTGTTTGGCCAAATCCTGTAAATCCACTGAACTACAGGATTTAGTAAATCCGGGTTTTATAGCAAAAAGAGGGAAACAAAGGTTTTATTCTTCCGTGAGATTTATTGGGCATTGAAATCCTGTTTGACAGGATTTAGCATAAATATTGCTCAAATCTTGCATACATCCTGTTGCCAAATTACTACTAAAAATCAAAATGTCTTACTAATTCAAAAGTGCTCGAATTTCTTTCACATTGAAGGAACTACAAGTGAGGCTAGGAACATGAATATCAAATTTGGTCAACATAGCTGATCTAGCACCCGATTACGTCCACCAATCAACAAAGGAGTTTATAACAATCTTGCTATCAAAGTTGCCTCTTTAATAATCTTATAGATTGAATTGAATATCATCTTTATTGAAGAATTCATAAGCCAACATTCTTTCCATACAGTTAATCAACCCTCTTTCAATCTTTAATCATTAGAAAATTTGTCTTCAAAGGAAGTAGAGGGTTCATTTAGTATCTGGTGGTACATTATTTTAGATGAAATTGTGTCATCTAGCTTTCATCAACTCTCCAAATAGTTTTTACTATTGAATGTAATCATTCCATTTATCGAATCCATCAATTCATACACATAATCATGGTTGGCCATTCCTCAGGATCAACTACTCTTAGAACACCCCCACCATGACACTCACATGCATGCTCATGCACAATATACATGTGTGCATGCACACATACTTATGTATATTTGTTGTGTGTGTATATATATGATGAGATTCAATCCTAGGATCTTTGTAATAACTTTCAAAGGTCCATACCAGCTAACTTTGTGGCTTCTATATATATATATATATATATATATATATATATATATGCATGTATTCAATATTTAAAATTGGCTCATATTTTTAATTTAAATTTAATTTTCCTATAAGCTTATAAATTTTATATAAATTATTACTAATTTATGTTACATATTTAGATATAATATACACCTATAGATTATGTAACAATTTATATTATAAATTTTTCTTTATAAATCATTCATTTTAGATCATTTATTATTAATTAATTATCAAAAATTAATTTTTTGTAGTGTATACTTAAATAATAAATAATAATAATAATATTGACCAATAAAATAAATATTTTTCATATGATAAAGATTAATTAAAAATTTAATTAGAAATAAATAGTGTAATTGTTGCAAACTTAAGAACTTTAATTTAATTATTTAGTCCCACATTATTTGAGGCTTTTGTTAGTTTAATTTATATAGCTTTTTTGGATGTGTTTGAAGCTCATATAGGTTGGTGGGGTTATGTGAGAACGTTTGGTTGGTGTTTTTTTAACCGATGATAATTATATGCACTTAATGCTCATTAAAAATTAAAATACATCATATTTAAATTACTTTGTTAATTTTAATATTATATTTTAAATTTATTAAATTAATTATTTAATTATTCAAGTGGATCGATAATTGAACCTACTAGTTCAAATAAAAATCAGGATTGGTTCAACGGTACATCGTTCGAACCGGCGGTTCTAACATTTTTAATTTGGTTTGTTGTAAAGGCGGTTTTGAAGATGGATCCGGCTGGCCATATGACCGATCAATAGATCAATTATTGAACCAGCCAGTTGATCTGAATTTTGAAACTGTTATTTTCACTATGAAATTTACAACTTATAGTGAGCTTGTGAAAAAAACAAAAATGATCTGATGCTGAATGTTATATAAGCAATCTTAAATATTTAGTATTGCTCAAGCATTTCAACATTAAAAGTCTTAAAAAATATTATAAGTATCATCAACTATCCATGCATTTGATTCGAAGTGATTTTAAAGCCTCTATGCTTTGATATTGAAATTATTTTTTCATGCAATTAGTGTCATCTATCGAGAAAATTTTATTGGATTATATTGATGGTCAATCAATCCTAAAAGCTATTGAAATCCTGTATGCTGTTAATGAAAATTGGCTATTTTTATGTAAAATTTGAACATAATATTGAAATCTAAATAAGAGGAGAAAGGCGATTCTTTTCCAAGGAAAAAAGGTCCTTTCCTCTGCGTGGGTAGGCAAACCTTTGTTAAGCAAGAATTTTTCCAAGGTTGCTCGGGAATGAATTATATTCGCTTCAAAGAGTTATTATATTGAAGAGCCAAAATGCTCTATTAGCACTTTTGTTCTAGTTTGTAGTTAATAATCTCTTAGGATTAGATTTGCCATGTTGTTAGCTTACATACTACGTGGATATTCAGTTTTGGTTTTATTCATAATCTTATTTCACTCGTGACTTGATACTCCACTCTCCACATGAGTGGATCACGTTCAATAGGAAATAATCTCAATTATTTTAAACCTTATATAAGTCGAAAATGGAGATTATCCGCTACTAAAAGAATTGAAGAAAACTGCTAGTGTCTTTAAGAATAAGGGTTTCGTAAAAGTATTGAATGGCAAAGATTTGGACTAAGGGACCATTTGATTTAAAGTAGTTAGAATTCATTGTATTTTATATGCAATGCAAAGTCATTATATTTGAAATACTTTATCATTGTTTGTTTGAGTATAAAAGAAAAGCGGAAGATCACTTTTTTTTATGTTAGTTTGAAGTAAAATTGATTTAGTGTAAAGCACAGTGAGTGGTTGGCGACGATGGGCAATAGTGATCAGGCAGCGGAGGCGGCATTGTCAGTGGCTAGTGGAGGTAGGGCGGCAACGCGTGGTTGTGGGAGCTTGTGGTGGGTGGTGGTTGTGGGTGATGACATTAGGTGGTGGTGGCTGGCAGATGGTGATTGCAAGCGCGAGTTGAAACTTCTGCATGCAATGTATTTGATGTTCAGCCAAATTGTGCAAATTTCAAGTGCATTGAAAATGTGTTAAATGATGAATTTCAAATACATGAATACATTATTTTGCATTCCTTTTTCATTTACCAAATATTTTTTTTTTTTTCAAAACATCTTAATTTGTTTTATTTTGCATTTTTATTTCAGTAAATTAAATATCTTCTAAGTGATTATCGCCTTGCGGCGGTCTTTATGATGCTATGTTATAGTTGACTACATTCTAAGATGAAGACTTCCCTATACATGCATAAGTACATTCTTATGCATAAGTAGCACGTCTAACCAAAAAGGCCCCTTGCTCTTTTACATATATATATCCATGTAAGTACTGAGTATTTATTTTTCTCAGTTGCACGAGTTATGTACTGCAATGACGTCCTGCTTGTACATCAACAATATTTTCACATTGCTAAAGCAATATTTTCAATCTGAGTAAAGCGATTAAAAAAAAACTGATATTGTGCATTCATATTTGTCCGCAAAGGTTAATGCTCTGTATGAGGAGATGATGCAACAATTAAAGGTAAGCAGCATTGAACAGCTTGCCCGACAGCAGATAGATGGTGTGGTTCGGCAACGGGAAGCAGGTTATGATGATTTTGTGGAGTCAATGGTTCCTTCCTCATGCAAACATGTTATAAATTGTCATGATGGAGGGTGTGGTTCCATATTATTTGAGCACAATTCAAACAGGCTTCTCACCGGCGGCCAGGATCGTACAGTGAAGGTTTGGGATGCCAACACTGGAATCTTAAGCAACACATTTAGGGGCAGCGTTGGTTCCATTCTTGACCTTGCCGTTACTCATGATAACAAATTTGTGATTGGGGCAAGCAGTTCTAACAATCTGTGTGTGTGGGAATCATCTACAGGCCGCATTCGTCACACCCTTACAGGCCATACTGATAAAGTGTGCAGTGTGGATGCAAGCAGAAGCTCTGCCCGGAATGTAGTAAGCGCAGCTTATGATCATACCATCAAAGTCTGGGATCTGCAGAAGGGTTACTGTTCACACACTATTATTTCAGTAAGTAATTGCAATGCACTTGCCTATAGTTCTGATGGGCTTACTATATGCTCGGGCCATGTTGATGGCAACCTGCGTTTGTGGGATAGTCAATCCGGGAAGCTGATGAGTGAGGTTGCAGCTCACTCACAGGCAGTCACATCTGTCTGTGTGTCTCCTAACGGTAACATAGTCTTAACAAGTGGAAGGGATAATGTGCATAATTTGTTCGATGTAAGAACTTTGGAGGTTTGTGGTACTTATAGAACTACTGGAAACCGAGTTGCATCGAACTGGAGCCGCTCATGCATCAGTCGTGATGAAAATAGTGTGGCAGCGGGCTCTGCTGATGGTTCTGTTAGTATTTGGTCGAGGTTGAAGTCTGATAAGGTGAGCGTTCTTGATGGACATACTTCACCTGTTCTTTCATGTACATGGAATGACCTTGGTCGATCTCTGGCTTCTGCTGATAGGAATGGAACTGTTTGTATATGGGTGTGATAGTTTTTTTTTTTTTTACCCTCATTATTCTGTGTATTTTGCTTGATAATTTGATTTGTTGGCCTTCGGCTCTGATTGCTTCATTTATCATAACAATGTATAATTACTTCCTCTTTTTTTTATCATTGTTTCAACGATATTAAAATGTTTGATATGAACTTGGCCGTTGCATGTATGGGATTGCAGCAATTAAATTTACAATGTATTTTATGTACTGAAGGAAATTAAGAAGATTCCATTCAAGCCACAATATGAATTGTCTTATGCATGCAGAGTATTATAAAAGTGCATTAAAAATACAGAATAGCGTTGGGAGAGCAAGGTTTGTTTTGCTTTCTTTTTTAGTTATTAGTGAGTAACATATATAGAAATGTTTCAGAAAACAAAATTAATTTTGAGCAAATGACAGCATGGCAGATTCATTCAATAGATAGTTGCACATCTTTAGCTAGAGTGGAAGTGCATCTACCCTTGGCCTTAAGTTCTTGCCTATATACCACTACCATTAGGGTAGTTTGCACAATTATTATACATGATTATATATCATTAGCATCCTCCTCCATCCGATTGGATCAAAGTGAATGTGGACACATCTTTATTATCTTCTTATAAAGCTGGGGGATCGGTGGGGTGTTTCTTGACTATAAAGGAAGATTACTCTTGGCATTTGAAAAGGCTTGTGTTCATTGGGATGTTTCACGTGTGGTACTTTTGTCTATTTAGTCAATCAATGAATTTGTCAAAGATTGGATGTTCTCTTATAAGGGCATTATTGTTGAAAGTGATAATGCCAACATAATCAAGTTTCTCCAGGATGCATTAAGGAAAGGTGGCAAAGAATTGGAAGTTCTTTCTTTCATTAAGGAATTCAACCATGTGATTTTCAATTTTATAGACAGGAATAGTAATAAGTTAGCGAATTTATATGCTAATTATGCTACTTTTAGTTATTTTATTTGGGATGACATTAGTATGAATAAGATTCCTCCTTTTATCAAGATGTTAAAGGAGGAATTTGATGTTAGTTGTTTGTAGTTTGTTTTGCTTGTTTTTTTATTAATGAAATTAGTTGCTTCTTCAAAAAAAAAAAAGATAACAGTTAGGACAGAAAAAAAAAAAGATATAGGGAATCATAATATCTCAAAAGATAAGCATGATCCAAAAAGCTCTTAACGAATAAGGTCCCGTCCATAATAAGTTGGATATGTAGAGGAAGAAATACAGACTTGGAGTTTGTAAAATTTCAAAATAGAAGAGAGCTAGGGTCAAAGAGAGAAAATCTAAAAAAAAAACCCTTTAAGCTTTGAAAGCATATGTGGGTGGGTTCTTGAAGGGATTGAACGGTGGTATGGTTTTGTGGAATCATACGGAGGCTTGTAGGATGATATATCGGCTGAAATGGTCGGCCTTAGGAATTCAAGAGAAGCGACCAAGTAAATTCTAAGAGAAGCGACCAAGTCAATTCAAAATCACCTGCAAACAAACAAACAATTCTTCATTAATTCTTTAATACCTCTTAAAGTTCGGTAACAGTTATATCTATATAGAGCTTTTTTTTTTGGAAAGATGCATTAAGCAATAGCATTAAAAGAAAAGAGATCTAATACAAACTAATAGCGTCATCACACTCCTTTAACAATTGAATAAAGTGAGGAATATGATCCTTTCTAAAATCATCCCAAACAAAATTACCACTAAGAGCATAGTTAGCACAAACATCCGTTAACTTATTGCATTCCCTGTTCACACAATTAAAAATAACATGATTAAAATCTTTATTAAAAGAAATAAATTCAAATCCAAAGTCAGACTTGTGAATCTCCATCATCTTGATACCATCAAGAATGTTTGTAATCACATTTGCAGTCTCCTTCAATAATGATGCATTTGAATTGCATCATCCAATCTTTGACAACACATTTTAAAGAATAAATAGCTTCCATTTCTAACCGAGAGATGTCCCAATGAACACCATTGAATCCAAATGCACAAAAACCTTCCTTTATGATCCCGGAAGACACCTCCAGCTTTATATGATGTTAACAAGGAAGAGTTTACATTAACTTTTATCCAATCGGGTGGTGGAGAATGCCAACAATTTCTGGACAACCGAACCGGTTGATTAGCATCCCATATGCCCGAATTATGTCTATTTGACATAGAAATGGAAGCTACTCCAACTGAATTTGCTGCAATACTAAGGTTACTATCTTCCTTATCTCCATGAATAAACTTATTTCTGAATTTCCAACAGAAAAAGACTGATGAACAATATAAATTAGCAAGAAAAATTTTGCTAGAAGCATTTTGTTCCAACTTGCTACAACATTCAACAAAAGTTTCAAAAACAAGGATTTGAAAACCCCACCGATTCAAAATTTGAACAATTTGAATAAACTTAGGGCAGCTAACCGCAACATGTTCATGATCTTCACTTTTCATACATCCTCTAGGACATAAATTCCCCTCTCTTAATCTTCTATATTCCAAAAAATGGAATGTAGGAATAGCTTTGTGATGTAATCTCCACCAGAATACTTCAATCCTTAGATTAAGATTAATTTTTTTAATCAATACCCAATACATATGCACAGCTGGATTACTCACAACAGGTTCAAATGCTAAAGTCGAAAGAGATTTTCCAGTTACCTGATACAAAAGCTCCAATTGATCCTTGTTACAATTCGGATCAATATGAATATTGCATATTAGATTGATTAATTCCTTGCCAAAGAACAAATGTAGCTCCTCCATGTCCCAAACTCCATTTTTAATAAAGTGATCAACATTTAAAACATCACCTTGTAAAATAGAAAGAAATGTAGGCCATTTACTTAAGACTTTATCCAAAATCCAAACATCCTCCATCACATTAATAGATTCTCCATTGGAAATCTTCCATCTAACTATTGGTTTTAGAGCTTTTGCACCACTCAAAATGATATTCCAAGCATTCGACATGTTCTTCATTAAATCAAAACTCCAACAAGACGAACCATATCTTGGTTCCAATGTTTTATGCAGCAGTGAATCAGCATCACTAATAAACTTCCATGCAATCTTAGACCTTAACACATCCACCTTTTTTAACACATGAATGAAGACCACGGCCCCCCAAATGAATCGGCTTACATAAAGATTCCCAGCACACATAATGAAGTCCACTTCTACTATCATTTTTATGCCAAAGAAATTCCCTACATAGTTTATCAATTTCAGCCAAAATACCAATAGGCACAAGAGAATGAGTGCAATGAAACATCGGGATTGAAAGAATAATTGATTTGATAAGAATTTTTTTTTTTGATAAAGAGATAAACTTATTTCCCCAAGTATTAAGGTTTCCAATAACTTTGTTAAACATGAAGTTGAAATCTGTAGCCACAAGTCTCTTCAAAGCAATCTTCACACCCAAGTAATTAAATTCTTTAATAGGTTTAAAATCCATTTTCTTCCTCCTTTTCACCTCTTTTCCCAAAAGAATAGAAGATTTCTAAAAATTAATTTTCTAACTTGTCCAACTACAATAGTCCAATCGAATACTTCTAATCTTCTTCACCAATTTCACATTAGCTTCAGAAAAAATCAAAATATAATATGCATAAAACAAATGAGAGATCCTTGGAGCATTCAGATGAACTTTAATCCCTATCTCATTCTCTCCTTGTATTAAAGCATTTGATAAAAGTTGGGAGCATAAAACAAAGAGAAAAGGAGATAAGGGACAACCTTGAAAAAAACCACTTCAAGCACTCATCCAGTTTGAAGAATTCGCATTGATTAATATAGAAAATCTTGGATGTTCTACACATTCCATAATAAGCTTAGAAAAATGTAAATGAAAGCCAAAATATTTCAAAATCTGCTCCAGAGTTCTCCTAAGCCATACTTTCATAAGCTTGTTCCATAAGTTTTTGAATGAAACCAATCCTTTAGAAGATTTTGAATGCCAAAATTTATGAATGATTTCTTAAGCAATTAAGACATGTTCTGATAAGGAACGACCCTTTATGAAAGCTGATTGATTTGCTGAAATGAGTTTTGGAAGAATAGAAACAAATCTATTAAGTAAAATTTTAGCAACAAGTTTATAAATAGTTTTACATAAACTTATTGGCCTAAAATTTGAAGGAATCATAGGCTTATCCACCTTTGGAATGAGCACAATCAAAGTATCTTTACAATTGGCATCCATTTTCCTAGTAGAAAAGAAATGCTTAATAACATTCCAAATGTTTGTTTTAATAATTAACAAATAAGCTTTGACAAAAAAATGTGTAATTCCATCTACTCCAGGTGAAATCCCTCCACCAAGTTGATAAACAGCTCACATAACTTCCTCCATAGATATTTCGATTTCTAAGATTTTTCTGTCATTTTCATTCAGCACACACCTAGGAGTAGGCTAGTTATTCAAAGAACAATCTCTAGCCTCCCACTTGGTTTTAAAGAAATTAAAAAAATATACTTTCAATCCGATCTTGGTCCTCTACCAACGATCCATTTCCATCCTTGATTTTGAAAATAAGTTTAGCATTCCTCCTAGCGCTTGCAAAAGAATGAACAAATTTAGAATTCATATCCTCCTCTTTGATCCGTTTCACCTTTGCCCATTGCCTCCAGCATGTGTGTTCAACTGAGCAAGTGTGCTATTGAGCTCATTTACTATAGTTCTGAGAATCAAAACTTTATCCTATGAAAGACCACCACCATAAGCTTCCTCTATTTGCAGAATTTTTATTGCCTCCTCCCACCTAACGCATCTCTACGTTCGGTATGCCTTGATAACGCGACATCTGGCAGCAACTTTACCCGCAACCCGACCCGGCGATGATTGGGTATATGGCACGTGCGAAATTTAAAACTAATGGCCCGACCAACGGACCCGAATATTATCGCGCGGACCCAAAAAAAACGGCTATGTTTTCAAACAAACCTTACCGTCTTTCGCTTTAGTCAGCTTCAGTCATCATTCGCTTGGATATACTTCATCTTCTCCAACCGGCGCTTCTTCTTCTTCCATTTCTATGAAGTTTCAAGCTCTGCATATTTGCTTTTACGATGCCTCAGGTTAGTTTCTTCTTCTTCAATATATATGGTAGGGTTTACAAAGCGGTTCCGAGCAGTATACCGAGCGGTACTGCTCGGTATTGGCATATAATGGTAGTAAGAAAGTAATAAGGCATTAATGGTACGTATAAGCTCGACAGCTCGGTAGTGCTCGGTACCGAGCTGTATAACACTCGGTAT